AGACACATTACCACGTAGCCAGTCCAGAGACACATTACCACGTAGCCAGTCCAGAGACACATTACCACGTAGCCAGTCCAGAGACACATTACCACATAACCAGTCCAGAGACACATTACCACGTAGCCAAATAGCCATATAGCCACGTAGACACATAACCAGTCCAGAGACACATTACCACGTAGCCAGACAGCTAAATAGCCACGTAGACACATCATCTGCCTCCTTACACACGACCACATAGCCAAAGAGCCCCCCCTCTCTCTCACACTCGTGAACGAGGACGAGGGATTTTGCCGGGAAGAATCTGCTCTCGCCTCGGCTGCCTGCTCACGCCTCGGCTATGGAGTGAAGGAGGACTGCCGCCACGAAGCTTGACACCATGGCGACTGCCATGGTTGCCTGGCTATGGCCGCCGGCCTTGACTGCTCACGCCTCGGCTATGGAGTGAAGGAGGACCAACCAACCACATATTTTGGAAACTGACCGATTACGTAATCGGTCAGTTTCAGAAACGACCGATTACGTAATTGATCGTTTATGAACCGACCGATTACGTGGATTGAAGTCGACGGCTTGAAGGTGGATTGAAGGCGGGGGAGTGCCCCGATGGGCGACGGGTCAGGTAAAGGGGGGGCAAGGTGGGAGATTGAATGGGAAGGCGAGGGATTGAAGGCAGCGGAAGGTGGGGGAATGGGAAAGGAAATGCGGGGAAATGTGTGGAAAGGCGGGGAAAGGAAGGTGGCGACTGATCAGAACAGATACTACACTTGATCTTCTCTCCTTGCACTTCTTGATGCGCTGGGTACCATTAGTGTTCTGCAGTTAAAGATGGTGGCAGGGCATATGAAAGGTTCCGTCTTACCCGGTCTGGCTGCGCTTTGAGCCGCTGACTGATGACGTTTTTCGGATCGTGATATGCTTCTGGTTGGAAGTCCTTCTGTACCGCATATCTAGTGATGACCCGATTCCTGTCGATCCACACATTGCATATGCTCACTTCTTGCCCTGCTTCCACTCTCGTCGTCTGGGCGAAGAAGATGCATAAGCCCATGACTTCGTAATTACACGCTCTGGGCAGGTACCGATACAAATACAATCCATTTTGCGTCGGCTGTACAGCCCATCCCTGTCCGTGAAAATCGAAATCGTACTTCATCTCAAAGAGCACATCTTGGGATGTGTGTACCTCGGCGAGATACTGCAATGCCATTGCGAACTTCTCTGCTCGTGTGCGATCTTGTTCAGTTGCTGCATTGTGTTGTTGTTCATCCTCATCCCCTTCGTCTTCAACTTCTTCGTCGTAATCCTTTTCTTCTTCGTCACCCTCTTCCTCCTCCTCTTCCTCGTTCACATCTTCTTCTTCTCCCGGGGGCGGATACATCATATGAAGAGAATGTGAGAGATTCAGCGGCATGATGTCATCACCTGCCTGCGATCCCCTCCTCTCTCTCGTGTCCGTGTCTCTTCCAGGTGCCATTGGTCCTGCTCTCTCTCTCTCTCTCTCTCTCTCTCTCTCTCTCTCTCTCTCTCTCTCTCTCTCTCTCTCTCTCTCTGTGTATCTATCTATCGATATATCTATCTATCTATAGCTCACGAGGTCCGTGAGCCTCGTGAACTCTGCTCTCTTTCTCCTCAACACTAGGTTTCGCCTCCGCTGGCCCGATGGGTTGTGGTATGCCGTCCTCCGCGCCAGTTTCAAATTTCGAATTCCGGTTCGTTCCGGCGTTGTTCGTCTTCCCGCGGAAAAGCCAGTTCTCCCCGTCTTCCAGAAAATATTTTGTTTCGTCGATCCTGTTCACAATAGTAGGTCGGTACTCCTTCCCTGGGCCTCTCCTCACTCGTTGTAGGTTGGGGCGGCAAGGGCTCCTACGGAAAGGAAAAGACCCGCGTTGCGGGGTTGTCCTCACTCGATGTGGGGAGTTGCCTTTGAGGGGTGAACCCTTCACGCGTTTAACATAGGGGCCAGGGGTAGTTGTGCGAGTAGACAGTCCAACTCCTGCGGAAAAAAAGAAAAAGCCCGCGCTTTAACTCGCAAAAGTTGTCCGTTTCGCCCAAACGTTTCGGACTTGCCGCGCCCGATTGTACGTCGATTGACGTTTGAGATCCTTTGGAATGGCGGGCCGGAGCTACACTATTTCCTTTTTTCCTTTTTTTTTTCCTCAATCACGGGCCCTATGCCCAAGGCTTATATTTCCATTTGAAACAGTAGAGACCGGGGTCCTCACAGTCTACCCGGATGGTCACTTCTGGGAGCATTACCCTGTTTCTCTTACGGGGAACAAGCCACCTGGGGAGCGACACTATTTTGGGTGTTGTCGATGACCCGCTCTTTTTTTTATGAAAAGTTCGAAACTTCTCCGTATTTTCAATATCTTCATGGCGGGAATGGTCCGCCGCGACGTTCTAGTTGGTGAGCCGGACGCCGAGGCGCTTACACGCCTGCGGTGAGGGGGTCCTTTTTCCTTGGGTGCTTCTGTAGTCGCGGAACATGTGAAAATTCCACGAATATTTCGCGGCCCGCGCTTTAATTCGCGAAAGCTGTCTGTTTCGCCCAAACTTTTCGGACTTGCCGCGCCCGATTGTACCTCGAATGACATTTCAGACCCTCTGGGATGGCGGGCCAGAGCGACACTATTTCGGGTGTGGTCGAGAACCCGCTCTTTTTTTGACGAAAAGTCCGAAACTTCTACGTATTTTCAATATCTTCATGGCGGGAGTGGTCCGCCGCTACGTTCCAGTTGGTGAGCCGGACGCCGAGGCGGTTACACGACTGCGATGAGGGGGTCCCTATTCCTTGGGTGCTTTTGTAGTCGCGGAACATATGAAAATTCCACGAATGTTTCGCGGCCCGCGCTTTTCTGTCTTGGAACACATGAAAGTTTCGCGGACATTTGGCGGTCGTGTCTTGTCGGGCGTTACCCCTGTCAGACGAGTTCCAACTACTCCCGACGATGTTCAAGACGGGAAACAAATGTAAGCGCATGTGCTTCTCGCCCTGCAGCCTTGGCTCACTTCTGTTTTCTCTCTTCTGGATGTTATCATTTCGATAACGTTGTGTAATCAAGCTCGTCTCGTGGCATTCGTGTATGGTCCAAGATACTGCGCCCATGGATGAACTTAAGCGCGTCAGGCGCTGGTTCTCGAATCCGCTGGTGCCTGAAAGAAGAAGAGTGTTTTCTCTACCTCTGTCTTTCGATGCGCTTTCCAGAGGTTCTGCTATGTGTTCTTCTGCGGTAGGTGGGGACGTGTTTGCCCACTTCGACCTCTCTGATCTCCCCCTATGCGCGACCTTCCCTGAGGAGACAGGAACTGCTCCAGAAGACAGTGGTGCCAGGGAACATCGCAATTTCTCTCTCGGTTATGATGGTCATTGCAGGGAAAGCACAGGTCGCATCTTTGCTGGCACCTTTGAGGCAATTGTCTCTTGTTCTTCTGACGCATTTGGTGAACATGAGAGTGGTGGCGCTACGACGAACACTCTACACATCTTCGACGGCCTTCATAATGCGGATGTCCAGCACTCTCTACCACGAGGCCGCAGGGAGATTTACACTGATTTCAAGCACAAGGTGGTGCACGTGCTCGACAAGAGGAAGAGAAATACCCGCGATTATAATAAGAAAGCTCGTGAACTGGTTTCAGTTGCTTCCGTCTCCAGAGCTCTCCATGCTGTGTGCTGCGCAAAGTCATGCATATCAATATTCAGATTGGAAGAAGTGCTACAGGAAAGAAGGAAGTTTTGAGCTATGAAGCAGCCACAACAGGCGAACTTTTTGCTCAATGAGATCAAAAAAGTTTCGTGCTTCAATGCCAATGGGACTCTTGAGAAGCTTCGTCTTGCTTTTGCGAACAGATTCGTCTGTTCCCTTGCATGGGGCCGCCTGTACAGCCTTTGCAAAACCAGAGTTGCTGCCATCCGCAACAAGGTTTGTCGTGGTGTTCATACTTACGTGCATGGCAATGCAGGGAGTCGGTGTCCTTCTGCACGGTACATGGCTGTGTATGCTTGGATGAAGGTGTACTTTGCCATGAACACGGAGTCCATGCCAAATTCTGATAGATTTCATCTCACTGACTGCTTGACAAAGGCGGGGGTCTACGATTTTTTTGTGGCCAACTATCGGCGTCTGCATCCCGGGGATGTCGTCCCCTCTCTTTCATTTTTCATGAAGATATGGACGGCTCTGTGTTCCAAGGTGTGCATCCCGGCTACGAACAGATTCTCTATCTGTGCGCAGTGTGCAAAACTTAAGTTCGAATGTGGAAGAGTTGCTACCCCAATTGACAAAGGTATATATCGAATGTTATCCTCTTTTCATGTTCTGTTTCTGTGATCAGACTTTGTGATTGCGTCTGCTCTCCGTTTACATATCCGTGTAATATACTAAATTAACATTTTTTGTTCTTGTTTTGACAGAGAATTTTCGAAAAATGCTTGACTTCCACATCGAGGCCCAGAGGATTGAGAGACAGAAATTGATGGACCGTCGGAAGAAAGCAAAGCTTTCGCCGGAGAAGTACGTCATCATCATTGTGGATGGAATGTATCAGAGCAAGACGATTCTCCCACACTTCTAGCGCGTCCCGAAGGACCCAAAGATCAGGGAAGGAGATTTCCTCAAGGTACATGTTGTAGGTGCGAAAGTGGAAGGTCGCTTGCGGATAGCACACATTATGATGTTTTTCAACAATTTCAAGATGGACTCCAACTCCATGCTCACGGTGCTGCATAGAGTCATTTCGGATTTGCCAAGGCCTTTACCAAAGGTTTTGTTCTTGACGATCGATAATACGTCAAGGGAGAACAAGAACAAGTATGTCTTCGAGAAAGTCAAACTCAATTTCCTTTTGGTAGGTCATACTCATGAGAACATCGATCAGATGTTTAGTTTCTTTCGAGAGCTCTTGCACACCAGAATGCGCATGATCTCCCTGCTTTGGAGACAGTGATCAAACAATCTTACACTAAATATGCAGGTGTGCACGTACAACGGGTTTTCGAAGTATATGATTGGAAGACTTATGTAGAGAACCACTTGGCACAACTGCACGACATCAGTTTCAATCAACACTTTCGTGTCAAGAAGAATCCTGAGGGAGAGGTTGCCATTTGGAGTAAGCAGTTTTCCACATCGGCGTGGCAACCGGGTGATGAAGCAGACCTTGCTATTTTCAAGACATTTCCAGAGGGGGATGTGCATGCAGCTGCACGTCATGTTGTGCGTAGTATGGATGAGAGGATCAAAGCGGCCGAGGAGAAAAGGATAATCAACAAGACTGCATCATTGGCCGGTATACGCAAGAATGTCAACTCGTTTGCAAGATACATCAGCAATGAGTCCTTCGCATGGTGGACAAGTTTCTTGGTCGAGCAAGACAACATGGACTTCGATACGACTGTCTAGCAACTTCCATTTCTATGGCCGATTATTGACTCTTGTGTCTCCCATGAATATGATAGGGACAAGGAAGGAGTTGTAGAGACAGAAAGTCTAAACGCATATATTATTCCTCCTGAAAGGCCATTATATGTCAGACATAGAAAAAAGGCTAGAGTTTTGGAACTGAGAGGCGGATCTGAGGACCTGAAGGAGGGAACTTTCGTGGCTGTATGGGCAAGGAAAGACGAGGAAGAGAATGGAAAACCTTATTTTATAGTTAAAGTAAAGAAACTTTTAGAAGGCGAGAAATTTGTGGGACACTGGTATGCCGAGAGCGGGAACGGTAAGTACCATCCATATAACCATACAGATCCTCGAGGACGTGTGACAAACAGACCTGTGGAACATACATTTTCGTGGGACTGTGGGATTCTTTGTTATAACTTCGGTTTGAAAGCAGATAGAGCATTCTACACAAGTACATTAGAGACAATAGCCAAAACTTTGCAGGATATCGAAAATAATGAGTGTATAGATGCAGAAGATAGTCAAGAAGTTGAGGAGGAGAATATATGTCTTGTCTTGCTTCAGAGCTCACGAAAGTAGAGGTCTCCGTCGAGGCTTCTCCCAAATGGTTCATTATATGTGCATTGTGCAACAATACCAATGCACATTGGAGGGGTGCACCATTGTATGTATTTTTTGTTGTTCTTCAAATTCATTTTAATGCTATGCTTGTCATTATTCGTTCGATTGTCAATTCATTCTTCTCAAATATTTCATTTTCCACCCGCTCCTGCCTAAGCGTATTTTTCTTACTCTCGCTTTAGAGTTGGGCATGTTATTTTATCCTCATCAGTGACTCAATCACTGCTGGGCCCCAGTGGCCGCCCCCAGACTCGGGACGAAGATATCAGACCTAGGAAGATAAGGATATTAATTGGATGGGACGCTGGACCTGGTTTCCAGCAAGGTTGCTGCTACAAACCCCAATGGGACGCTGGATCCGGTTTCCAGCATGTGTGTTTATGACCAATCTCGATTACGTAAGGGACGCTGGGCCCGGTTTCCAGCAGGTGCTGCTCCCCCGAAATGCTAGCGGTGTCTGCTTCCGCCAGCACCTCTAGCATCCCCCAAGAGTTATAAAAAAACAAAAACAAAAATTATTATTTCCACATCAAGACAACCCCACCTACCCAAAATATTTCTTTTATTTTCAGCCCCACGCCCAACCCGCCCACCACCTATGACATGTCATTCCCCACACCGTCCCCGGCCCCGCAGCCTTGAAAACTTCA